GACAATGTAGATTTTGCATGACTATTAAACTGCATCACAGATTATAATGCCATCTGTATTTGTGAGTTGTATTCCACACACACACACACACACACAGAGAGAGGTCACATGACGCAACCATATGTAAAGATACTGTAATTACAAAAACAGCTGTTTATTTTTCTCATTTATTTTAGTACAGTCGGTTCATCAAACACTTTTTTATTTTTGAATTTTATTTACATTATTTGATTTTAGTTTATCAAAATGTTAACTCAACAGTCTTCATTGTAGTTTTAGAAACTAATTATAATGCTAATAGCAGTCTCTGTGTGTTTTTTGTGTTTAGTTACAGACTGTAGGTTTTAAAAAGCTATTATATGTAAATGATGTTTGCAGTGAAGTAATTCTCTCATCTCCTCCTCTCTGGGTGTCCTGATATTAGCACTCAGCAGTCATCTCCTGTTCTGTGATGGCTTGTGTTCATGTTGTGTGTGTTTTATTGGTGTGTGACTTTGTGTCTGTCTTTATCTATTGTAATAATATTACTTGAGTTAAATGTTCCAAGTAAATAGGAGAACTAAAATAAGTTATATGTGAAAATCGTAGCAAACAAATTCACCGTTTCCCACCGAGAGGGAAGACAATCTTTATTACGTTATTTAGAATTTTAATAAGATGGCAAGGTCACAGCAGTTCAGGCAGATGAAGATGGTGCTTTTAGTCTTTCAGTGGAAATCTGGATAATGTGCTGCTTCTAAACAAACCAGGACAGGATTAGCAGGATTATCAGTCAGAGAGCAGGTGTTTTTGTGTGATTCGGTGTTATTTTAGCATCACTGAAATGCTATTATAGTTTTTTTGTTTGTTTTTTTTTATTAGAATTTTCAGATTTCATTTTAATTTTAGTTTTTGTGTTTTTTTTTTTATATGTCTGTATAGTTTAAATTTTTTTTTTTTCAGCTTTAATTATTTTATTACATCACGGCAACTTTTTTTTTGTATTTTAATTTATATCAGTTAACATTTTATTTCAAGTAACAATAATGTTTTTTTTTTGTTTTGTTTTAGTTAACTATAATAACCCTGGTGTGAGTGTACAGTCACACGTAAGCAGATATTTCCAGTCATGTAAGTACAGATTCTGCTTGTGTGATTGAGAAACCTCTCCAAAACTGTCAAGTTTACATTACAATAACATAAGTGAAATCACCTCTAAAAACGCTGGATTAAAATGCTATCGTACATTTTGCTTCAGCTCAAATATTGTTGGTGTAGCTGATGTGCATGTAGATTCTAGAGTAAGAATTGGCATGAAAACCACTTGATGGCTTTTGATTGAACGGTGGCACCACGTGTTGTGATTTCATCAATTTACTTTTCTCCGTCTGGCCTCTCTTTTCCTCATCCGATACAGAAGTCATGTTGAGTAGGAAGATTTGAGTTCATACTCTTGTGTAAAACACTTTCCTATCATCCTGATGATCTCAAACCAGTAGACAAACCTTGTTTACTTGTGTCTCTGTGTACTTACAGTAAAATTACTTTAAATGGTAGCCTGTCAAGCTAAAAGCTACTCACAGTTGAATGTAGACACATGAATGTAGTGTTTTGCACGACACTACAAGTTACTCTGCCAACACTGGCTATTCATGTTTGTAATCAAAATATGATTTTTTTAAACATATTTTTTTCATTGAATTGAAAGCAATTTGCTAATATGAATTTGACTTCTCAAAGCTAATTGAGAGAGATGTAATAAGATAGCATTGTTGATTTTTGTTTTAAAAGAATGTCATGTGAAAAAAGTAATGCGGTATTTTTCATACTACAATACCAGTGCTGAGAAGCTGCCAAAGTCATTAACACCTAACTAATTCAATAAGTGATTTTTTTTCTCATTTATTTATCTGCATTCGGATTCATCACTTTGTGTTGCTTTTTAATATAATCCTTTGGTCTGCATGTAGCTGCTTCTTTGCCGAAAGTTCAGCAGATTTCTTCAAAATTTCATTGTTTGTTCAACATTTTGGATTTGCTTTACAGCCACAGGCAGGTTAAACCACAGATCAGCACAGAAAATACCAAATTTTACACATCTGCCACAGGGAAAGGGTGTATTATTACAAAAGCTACAATATTTGAGAACAGCTGAGCTACTGTCACACCACTAAAAAAAAATGTAGTTAAACAGATCCCCCAAATGAACATTTGGTCGTTGTTTACTAACCTTCATGTCCTGTATGACTTTTTCTTTTACAGAGCACAAAAAATAAAACGATTTTCTGAAACAACACTGAACAAAGATGTATAATGTAATTCAGATGATTTTAAATGGTTGTTTTAATTATTTGGGTCCTGGTGTTTTCTACTCCACCGAGTTTAATATAATTAACATGATCTAAGCTTTTGCTGTTGCACACAATCTACATGTTGTCTGATTGATAGTTCATAATTTTGTAGCAAGTAAAAGGCCTTTAATTTGAATTTTACAAACATCCGCCTTCAGCTTGTGGTCTTTTTGCTATCAAATCTTTATGTAAATGTAAGAATGACTTTGTTAGAAATATTTCAAAATGAACACTTACTGGACTGAAGCAACTTAGCTTTACTTGATAATCCAAACAATGTTTAAGAAAAATCATGTTTCGATGTGACTCTCAAATATGATCATCATGATGTTTATTTGTTCATGTCTCAATTGTCATTGTATTGCATTGCATTAAAGGGTTAGTTCACCCAAAACTGAAAATTCTGTCATTAATTACTCACTCTCGTGTTGTTCGAAACCTGTTAGACCTTCGTTCATCTTCGGAACACAATTTAAGATATTTTTGATGAAATCTGAGAGCTCTCTGACCCTCCCATAGACAGCAAGGTAACTACCACGTTCAAGGTCCAGAAAAGTACCAAGATGTTCGACAAAGTAGTCCGTGTGACATCAGTGGTACAACTGTAAAGTTACGAAGCTACGAGAGTACTTTTTTTGCGCAAAGAAAACAAAAAAAATGACTTTATTCCACATTTTCGTCTCTACTGCGTCACTTTGGACACGCGTTCACGACAGTACCGTCACGCGAGCGTGTAGTGGCGGCGGCGCTGACCCAGATCCGGCGTGATGACGTCATCAGCTTCGTAACTTTACAGTTGGACCACTGATGTCACACGGACTACTTTGTCGATCATCTTGGTACTTTTCTGGACCTTGACCGTGGTAGTTACCTTGCTGTCTATGGGAGGGTCAGAGAGCTCTCAGATTTCATCAAAAATATCTTAAATTGTGTTCCGAAGATGAACGAAGGTCTTACGGGTTTGGAACAACAGGAGGGTGAGTAATTACTGACAGAATTTTCATTTTTGGGTGAACTAAACCTTTAAATGTTTTGATCGTAAAACTAAGCATTCAAATATCATCTTACTAAGACATATTATTGGAGATATAGAGTGACGACTGATATTATATGCATGTTATGTCAAAAATGTACATTGCAAGCTATCAGAATTTCATCTTACTTTTTGTCCATATAAATATCAGCATCTGCAACAAATTGTGTATTTTTCTTCATTTTGGAACTCTAAAATAAAACGGATGTGTTTTATCAAGCATGAGCTCCATATTTTTATTATTTTAGATTTCATATTATTACAGGGTTAAAGCACGATTTTCTCATAAAGCTGTTTAAATGAATCCTCTCCCAGCTAGATCGGCCGTCGTCATCACACACTCTCCTATCGTCACTAAATATTCATGAACCTGCAGCGTGTCGTCGCCTCGTTTGAAAGGTCTCATTTTTGCTGTTTAAAAATCTTAATTCGCTCATTCAAATCATACTCGGAGAAACAGCAGAGTGCAAAGTCCAAGTGCAGAGAATCAGAGTTCTGTAATAGTGTTTGACCTCTGCGCCTGACCTCTGACAGCAGCTTACATCTCATTATGCCTCTGTCTGTCCAGCTCTAATGGGCGCCGTCGTCCTCGTCTCCTCACAATAAAGCTGTCCATTAGACGTCCACCTGCTCTCGCCGCGAGGAGATTTGGATGTGTTTTATTTGCTGCTGCATGTAAGGTGTGACAGGCAGATGGAATAACTCATCAGTGTCTCGCTGACTTAATGCACCATATGCGGCTTATTTATTTAAGGGTTTTCTTGGCCAAGCAAGATGTCTCTCAATATTTTAATCACGTAAACATATTACATTAACAGACTTGACGCATCACCATGACGATGTGAGTAATGGTACGGCTCATTTTTCGTGTTTTTACAAATGTGAGGGCGATATTATAGTGCGCTTGCTGCCAGTGCTGAGAAACTGCCAAAGTCATTAACACCTCGCTAATTCACTAAGTGAAAAGACACTTTATTTGTTTATTTGCCTGCACTCTGATTAATTGCTTTGTCTTATTGCTTTTTAACATAATCCTTTGTTATATCAGTGCTATCTGCTCCTCTGCAGAATTTCAGTGTTTGTTTAGTCTGTATTTTGGACTAATCTGATCTTGCTTTACAGGCACTGGCAGGTTATAGCACAGAAAATGACAAATTATGACACAGTTATATCTAAATGTGACCCTGGACCACAAAACCAGTCATAAGGGTCTATTGTTTTAGTTTTAGTTTGTTAGGATAGGACAATATTTGGCCGATATGCAACTATTTGAAAATCTGGAATCTGAGGGTGCAAAAAAAAATCAAAATATTGAGAAAATTGCCTTTAAAGTTGTCCAAATGAAGTTCTTAGCAATGCATATTACTAATCAAAAATTAAGTTTTGATACATTTACGGTAGGAAATTTACAAAATATCTTCATGGAACATGATCTTTACTTAATATCCTAATGATTTTTGGCAAAAAAAAATTTCCCAAAAATTCATTTTGACCCATACAATGTTTTTTTGGCTATTGCTAAAAATATACCCCAGCGACTTAAGACTGCTTTTGTGCCCCAGGCTCACATTTAAGTTAAATCTCGTAAGTAAAACCTAAAATGTTGCTACCGTATTTTTTACGGTATAATTCTGGCAACCACAGCTGCCAGTTTTTTACCGTAAACTTGATGTAATTTTTGTTACAGTGTAACAGAGCTGGTATGCACACACACTAAAGGTGCTTCACATGTAGAGTCCTGCGGCGGGGTACAGCATGAAGGGGGCGATGCTGTGCTGCGCGGGGCTCTCCAGCATGTGTTTGCGGTAATAACGGCGCAGTGCCGGGCTGCTCGGGTGCTGCTGTCTGACGTGGAGGAAGTATTCGTCCGGCCGGTTGGAGGTGAAGCCGCAGTCCTCGCACACGAAGATCTTGGAGCGCCGCTGGCGGTACGCATACTGCTGCCGCACGCTGTGGATCTTCCGCAGGTGAGACTCCAGAGAGCAGCGCTGCGTGAAGGCTTTCTCACACAGATCACACCGGTACGGACGGATGCCTGTGTGCAGAGAGAGAGACACTCAAGAGACTCAAAACCTGTTTATGGGAATCAGGGTTAGTGCAGTTAACCTTCATCCCTCTCTTGCGTTTTGTAACAAATCTTTCCCTCGTGGGTCAAAATGACCCGAAGGCCTAAAATGAAACTTTTTGTTTTTTGGTCCAGAAAACTTATATTGATCCATTTATGTTATAATATTTATGTAGGTTTTTTATCTTATTTAATTTTTATTTACCTTGTTTCCCCGCCAGCGTTTTTGCTGATTTTGTTGAGCGTTTACACCAAATTTTTCATTTTTTTTTACTTTTTTTTTTTTTTTTTTTTGTGGATGACTTCATCTTGAAGTTATTTATTTATTTGAAGTTATTTTATAGTTATTACTTTACAACTGTTTTCAATATTGATAATAATCAAAAAATGTTTTTTTGAGCAGCAAATCAGTATATTAGAATGATTTCTGAAGATCATAATAAGAAATGTGTACTGAGCAGTAAATCAGTATATTAGAATGATCTCTGAAGATCATGTGACACAGAAGACTGGAGGAATGATGCTGAAAATTCAGCTTTGATCACAGCAATCAATTACAGTTTAACATATATTCACATAGACAACAGCTTTTTGAAATTGTAATAATATTTCACAACATTACTGTTTTTACTGTGTTTTTGACCAAATAAATGCAGCCTTGGTGAGCAGAAGAGACTTAATTTTAAAACAAAACTCTTATAAACCCCAAATGGTGAATGGTACACATAAAATCAGAATATAAAAAGAAGCACAGTATGTCTGCTTATAATTTTAATATAAAATAAGACATGCTGAAAAAACATTTCAGTGAAGTCAGGAAATTGGCCTCATGGTTGCAGTTTGCACTCAAATTGATTTACATCCTACTGAATGTGAGAGAAAAACAAAGACAGACACTCTGGATGACAGATACAGTTGTACTTTTGTTAGTTCTGAGTGACCCATGGTCGTCGAATAAACACAGTGAGATTATTGATTAGAAAAAAACAAAATCTCATCAAGACACTTCAGCCCACATGAACACCCTGATCTGCTCTGAGTATTTAAACATAACCTGTAGTCTTGCATAATATTCTCAGCCTTTAACAAACAATGGCATATTAAATATGAAGTTTAAGGTTAAGTATTTCATTTTATTTAATTGCAAATGCACTTGGTAAAACGTTGCCTCCTTCACACACACCGGTGTTTGGCTGCTGGTGAGTATATACGGTTGCGGTCAGAGGTGCAGTACATTAAGCTCTCGACACACTCTTTGAATGTCTTTAATAGACTGTGGAGAGCTGTACATTAATGTGATCATAATCACATGCTTGGGCTGCAACTCTATTACCTGTCTAAGTAGATTACTAATGTCTTTTGAGAAACTTTGCGAGTGCCCTTGGCCAGAGCTCTCCCACATATGTGTTTTTGTATTTCCTCAGCGGATTCAGAGCACAGTGACGGCCGTATGCTGATTAACACTGTGTGTGGGAGAGTTTGTAAGAAATTATATTTTTACATCTTATTTTCTGAGGGAAATATGAGTGCCGCTTGACTGATTCTAGGGTGTTATGGGTGGTTGCCAGTATGCTTTTTGATCGCTAAGGTGTTTTAAGTGTGTTTTTATGCTAAATGTTTGCTAGGGCTTTGCTATGTGGTTGCTTGTTAGCAAAAGCAAAAAAAAAATTTGATCTACTGCATATGGATATGGTTTTGAGGCTCTTCTGCACCAGTTTTACTGTCCTGGTGAAAAAGCTATGTCTCGGATCTTTGAATTATTTGGCAGATTTGGTCCTCTACATAATATGTGTAATAGCAATAATAATAATAAATTCTCTCTGAAATTCTGGTCCTCAAACATGTTTTTATTTTATTTTATTATTTTTAAAATGTAATTACAGATTTGGTTCTTTATATAATATAAGCAATATAGTTATGTTTTCCTGAAGGCAAAAGTAAAAATGTTCTATGGTTCTGGTCTACAGTATAATTTTCTATAATTCTGGTCATTAAATATGTTTCGAGGTACACCATGCCTGTTTTATTGCCCTGTTATTGAAAATGGTAAGACTCAGAACTTCATAAAGTTTTTATTTTATTTTT